CTGACGACTTTATAATGATGAAAGGAGAGGCTGTGACAAGACTCTTTTGACCCCAACAGCAGGGGTCTATAAACACGAGAAAAAAAAGTACACTTCTGGCAAGGTGGTATTTTTTTCTAGTTTTAATTGGTTGTTTTATAATGAGCGCGCAGGAGAAGTCAACATTTCTATTTTATTTTTCATCGAAAAATCTTTAACCTTAATTTGCGATTTATTTCTATTTCTTATTCTAAACGTTTGTTCAGAATACATTGTATAGTGAGACAAAATGCAAACTGGTTCTATAATGTATGTAATAAAAAGTGACTGGTATGCATTAATTTATGTGGTAGTGTGAACATCATTGGCCTTTAGAAGCGATTTAAATTAATAGTCCTTAATAAAATATGTAAACTAATTAGGTATACCTAAAGTTTAAGTGCAAATTTAAAAGTTCGTTTTTAAAAACTTGTCTTACAAGTTTTGCAAGGTACGTCAACTCGAAAGCCAAATAAAACTATATATGTGAGATCTATTTTATCGGTTGTAAAGTGTAGTTATTTAACAATTATACAAATACTTTGCAGATTTGGAACAGATAACACCGAAACGCTAAATTTTAAATGCTTGTGTGGGTATTTTATCTAATCTTTTTAACCTTGCAATACCTAGAAATGTCAGTTTTTTATATTTGTATAAAGATACAAATTTTGCTTTTATTAAAAAATGTGTGCCATTGCAAATTCTGTATCTGGTACAGGTAAATTTACAAAAAGTGTGCTTTTTCTCACTGCACGGGCGGCCCAGATTAGATTCGGACCGATTCAATGGTTTGTTTTCCTATGTTCTGTTATGTTAGCGTATAAAAAACTAGCTTTTCCCCGCGGCTTAGCTCGCAGAAATTATTATTGTTTCGCCATAAAACCTTTTAACTACTAATTCACCTTTATAACGTTTTAATTTCATGTAATGTCGCCATCGTAGATTTCAAATACAAACGTAGCAACAACATTTCATCCTTAAGGGTTGATTTTTAAAAATTGCCAAAACACGTATTTGCTTAATTTCAACAATGAGCAACCTTCGAGTAAATCCGAGTACAAATAAAATATACCCCATGGAAACGTTGCAACCTCTTTTCATTTGATTAATAATATCAAACAGTATATATACCAAGTTTCAAGTAAATTCAATCACAAATAAAGTATGTCCCAAACAAAAATTGCAACACCTTTTAACGGCAAGACTGATGTTTTGTTTGTCCGTCTCCCAGTTCGAAGCTACCTCCCCACCAATTTTCAGCCAGATCGGTGCAGCCGTTCTTGAGTTATAAATAGTGTAACAAAAACGACTCTTTTATATATGCAGATGTAAGTGAAACTCTTTTAAGTATCTCTCTTGTCATTCCCAAACAAGACCATTTCTTCTATTAAAACCATTTTGAGAATACATTGTATGTTTATGAGTTTGGAAATGATATTAACAGTAAACAAAACATGTTTTGTTTTTTATTTTAATATCAGTACGTATTAATATAAAAGTTTTCAGAGGTTTTAAGTACAAGGTTATTTAATTAATTACTGTCTATTAGAAACAGTTTTGCTTAATTTCTGTAATACTTTTAACGCTACACATCTTAATGCAGATTATTTTTTTATAGTGATGATCTGTTTGTTTTTACCATAATATTATGAATAAGTGTATTTTTTTTGTTGTACTTAAAAGCGAAGCTGTGTGGAAATGACGTAAGATGCACGAAGCATGCGATATAAATTGAAGAGTCTTTATATTTTAAGATCGAAAACGATGTGTTTTTGGTCATTACTTGTTAAGATGTATTGTGTACGTATTATCTTGTTCTATTAATAAATCTAGTCTTATTTAATTCATGCTGATTTAATGGCAAATCTTCTTTGCCCCTACGCCCATTCGAAAAATTAAATCGTCACAAATACAACCACCACCTGCTAATTTATGAAGCATTCAGAGTCTTCTTGTAAACAGAAATGCAATAATTTCCTCTTTCAGAGAAACATCCAATCATGTCTGTAATTTTAATGGAAAATTACTTCAAAAATGTGTTCGTTCTTGTATGTATTCATTTATTCGTTCGAGCGTAATGACGAAAAATGTACAAAAAGCAGAGCAATTTGCTCGTTTCAGGAACAAAAAGATACGTAAATACATTACCATAATCGTAGATCCAGAAGACTGGCTGGATGCACACCTCCACTCTTTATGCTGAGTCAACCTTCTCCTTTTCCTCCGTAACGTCCTCGGTCCCCTTACCTTTCTGCATTTCCTTAAAACTAGATATTCCGCATCTCTAACACTAAGTCAAGGAACTTCTACCCCTCTTTCTAGCATGTCTCTTAACTATTACACAATGCCTTAGAAGTTGTCCATCATCCTAACCGTTCTTTTTCTTATTGACCTTCATAGCGCCCTCTGTTGTCCTACTTTCTTGCAATTTCTTAAAACTGGAACATGCTGCATCCCTAACCATTTACGAACAGTAATGTAATCTGGGTCTACCTCAGCCCCTCATTACTTCTATTTTTGCTTCCAATATCTCTCTCAAGTAGCTTTTCATGTCTCACATCGTATCCTTCATCCTATCTCCCTGTTTTCTAATTGATTTCCATAACATCCTGTGTTCTCTTACTTTTTCGTATTGTCTTAAAACTAGAACATGCTGCATCCCTAACCATTTGCCAACAGTATTCTAATCTAGGTCTACCTCAGCCCCTCATTACGTCCATTTTTGCTTCCAATATCTCTTTCAAGTAGCTTTTTACGTCTTAAAGGATATTCTTTATCTTACTTCTCCATTTCCTAATTGACTTCCACTGTTCTCTTACTTTTTCGCATGTTCCTAAAACTAGAACATTCTGCATCCCTATGTATTTATGAACAGTGTAGTCTTGCCTAGATCTACCTCTGTCCCTAATTACTTCTTTTTTTTTTTGTTCTAATATCTCTAAGTAGCTTTTCGCTTCTTATCCTACTTCTCCTTTGCCTTATTGACTTAATTCTCTGTCCTCCTATTTTTCTCTCCTCATTTTACAATATCTAACGAATGGTTTCGTATGTATCTTGCTTACAAAATTAGAACCTTCTCTTGAGAAAATCAAGTTCGGGGCCGTCCAAAAAAGAATGCAAATCTACATTTCGGGTCCAAAGCTCGACTGAGCATCAAGGCAGCGTTCAAGGTACGGACACGGCACCGCGCGGAAAAGCGTTAATTATTTCATAATAAAGAAGTCTGTGCAATTTTTTCATAATTAGAAATTTCAACTTTGATCCAAACGGCGAAAAGGTCTCATAGGATAACTGAAGGAAAAAAATCGGAAAACATTAATTTCTAATTCTATCTGGAATTTTTATCTGACAAACTTAATTTGATTTTATCACTATTCTCTCGTATTTTCCACTTCCGTTATTGGCTCTGGCTTACACGCGTACAAATTATGTGTTCTTCATTAAAATCAAACAAAATCGAATTTCTCTCGTTACCAATAACAACGGCTCTATTCAGTATTTGCATATTCCGGCAGCTTGTTACCTTGGTTACCGTTGCAAATGAACGCATTATCCCCGGTTGTTGCAACTACTTGCAATTTTTTGCAAAGCACGTGTTGCGTATTGATTTTTGTGCTTATCATATATGTGTGCACTTTGATGTATGTGTGCCTCAAAAGCTTTTTGAACCCGGAAATTTAAATGGATTCACTCACTAATGAACACAAGGTGCTTTTATTTTGATTTTCACACGGCAAAAAAACAAAAACTGCCGCAATTAGCGTTTTATTAAAGTTTGAGCTCCAGATCGTACAATTTAATGAGTTTTCTTCGTTTTCTTCTTGTTTGAAATAGACAAAATCCAGTCGAACTCGGTTATAGTAACGAATGCGAAGGAGCTGATAATTTTGTTCGTTATTTTCTTTTTTTATTAACATCCTAGGGATTTAATCGATAAAAATCAACTTTTATAAAATAAAATTGTAAAAAAAGAAATTTGAAAAATAATTCGAAGTGGTCTGTATTCTGTCGAAACTGCCAGACGCGGATCGCGATTTCGATCTTTTTGGATCTCATCAGCGCGTCGCAGGCAGCTCCGACAGAACACAGACCAACTTTTACCTGCTGTCTTAACAGCGCGTTTTAGAAAATACCACAAATGGCGTGGTAAACGCCATCTGTAGTACGATGCTACAGTACTTCGAATTATTTTATTCGATTATGGTAACGTGCCTGTCACGTTGAGGTTAGCTACGCCGGGATTCGTTTTCAGCAGTACAGGTAGATATCCACACAAGTGGACCTTGTTGGAGCATACATAATCCTAAAATGTAGCATCGTGCTACAGATGGCGTTTACTGCGTCATTTGTAGTATTTTCTAAAATCTTTTGTTAAATTTTTGTACCGAAATTTCCTCATATTTCCAGAGATGCTTTTGGCAAAAAAAGAATGTGTAGGTATCTTTTTTTCATTTGACAAAAAACTTAATTTATATTTGAAATGAAATAAAAATCTTCTTTCCCCTATGCCGGCTCTAAATTCCCTAGGTCTTGGGAAATGTCCCTAGGTTCATCAACGAAGGCAAAAATCGAATGTGTTAGTGGATATCTCCCTCCCTCTTGCTTACTGCTTACACAGAGAGAGAGAGAGAGAGAGAGAGAGAAACAAAAAACCGTATAAGTTGTATTCGATTAGTCTGTCATCTAGTGACTATATCCCATAGCAACCATGTTAAAAAGCATCGGTAGCAACCGATTGGCATTGCAAAATATTGTGAACACATAGCGCTTACGTAATGCATATGTTAGATGTCAGTTTTTTCAACTTTTTTTTACAAAATACTCGCCTTGATCAAAATTTATAATCAATATTTGTAGAATGGCGTGTAAGAAACTTGTTTTTGGAAGTTGGAATTGGTGCTCACAATTTTTCGAATTTCTCTTTCTGGTACACTTTGTGTAGCTTCGTTTGATATTCATTGTTTTTTGTTTTATTACAGGGAAACTTCAGACATAAATAGGATAAGTAGAAGAACAGCTGAAAAAAGAAGACGTGATCGACTGGCATCTTATATTCATGAACTCGCTCGACTTGTACCAATGATCGCGAAAAGTGCCAGAAAAATGGACAAAACAAGCATCCTCCGACTCACAGCTACGCATCTTTTAATACACCAAAGTAAGAACTTTTTTTATTTTTTTTTAACGTCGAATTTAGCATCTTGTCACCTTTAAAAGTTTCGTTTCCGTCAATATTGTTCTATCGATTTTGTGGCGTTCTCATGATTTGGTGTTATTACTATTGAAACTGTTGTAATAAGGCTAAAATTTAAGTAGAAAGAATAGCGATTTGTATACATTTACTCAACAATGATAATATTATACTGTTCGTGGGTTTAACAAATTAACTTTTTAAGACTGATAACGACAAAAACTATTTATTTACACTAATTATTAAAGAACTTAAAAACACTATTAAATTATTACTAAACTTAGGTTATGAATTATTCTATTTATTTACACTATAGTTGATATATCACTATTCANACTCTACTTCGGCGATCGTCTCTTCCTTTATATACTCCCTTGCCTCCTTTCGGGAACATTCTCGAGCCGTCCGGAAAAGTTTCGTTTTCTTCGAATTGTTTAATTACTTTCCCGGAACTCAGGTACGACACACACGTTTACAGATACGGCGCACTTGAAGAAAGGCGCCCGCGGCTAGTCAACGAATCGATAAACCGCTCACACACGTATGCCCGGTTGCCAATAATTGTAAATAAATAGAAGCGATTTTCAATGAAATTGAATCTTTTTCCTCATTTAGCAAAATAGCTTTTTTAAAAATTTCTGTGAAGAAGCCTGGCCAAAACGCGACCCCATTACGTCAAATTGTACGGCCTACAGGTTGATTTTATAAATTTATATTGAAGCTTTTGTTTCTTGTTGTATTTATTTAGGAGTTATCTTCTAAGTGTGGTGATGTCGTATATTTTATCGATTTTAAGTTTTTAATTCACGGGAGGTAATAAACCAAGAATTAAGTGGTGATGATCGATTGTTGGATTTATGTTCTTTCGTAGATATAATATAAAAGAAAACCTTATAATCCTCATAAGAATTTGCAAGGGCGATCTAATTTAACAATAATCCATGCTTATATTTTCATCAAAGCTTTTAATAAAAAAAAAAAAAACGATGTAATTTGGGTGGCAAATACCTACCTAATAATTTTCAATATTTTCCGCTGTTAAATGTCTTCCTAAAAAGTTAGCATAAGAATTTCTCGACATGATATTTTATACAATGAGTTCTAAGTGCCCTTAGTTGCACATATGTTTATGAAACATTTGTTTTTTAAGATGAAATTTATGGTGAGTTCATCACATGTTTTATTAACTGATACCAATAATCTACGTAAAAAAACAAGTTACAATATAAGTATATATTTACAAAAATTGAGTGAAAGGAAGGACATTCATCTTATTAATTGAAATTCGAGAAGTTATTAGATAAATTATATCACACCTAGCATAACAATAAAGTTTTTTATTAATTTTGTAAGTGCATTAGATACATTGTTTAAAAACATGTCTATCCGAAGTAATGACAACGTCACGCGTTATCTAAGTGGCCTTTGAAATCGTTTGAGTTGAGAAGGCTTTAGTAAAAAAGAAATCTATATTAACAGATTTTAGTATCCATTAAAGTGAAATAAAATCTGACTTTGAGATTGCAAATTATAATTAGTTCTAAAACTCTACTGCAAGGACTTATATCTCAGTAGGTAGTTAAGAATTTTGCTGGTAATGCTAAAATTTGTTAACGATCCTATTGCAGTAAAAGAAATGAGTTTATTTTTCTTAATTCCGTTTAGTTGTTTGTGTGAAGAGACTTACCGTGATGTAAGTGCAAAATAGATTCTTAAAAACTATAATATATACGCTAAAAATACGATTTATGAGGCAAATAAAGTACGTAAAGGTAATAAAAACGGAAGGTATATGATAGGACAAGAGAGCACGGGTTATTTTTCTGTAAATAATTTCTGTAGATTGCCCAGTTTTTTTTTTCTTAAGCAGCCTAGAGAAAGGTTGAGAACTACATTCTTAAATGAATAACAAATATTATTATAATCCCGGTAATACACTGTTAAATTTTATGATGCCAATGCAAAATCTATAGAAGCTTTTGTATGAGAGTGAGGCATTAAAATTTTGATCCATGATATCATAAAAGATTACATTTTTTATAGCTGACAATTCATGGGTTGCCTAAAAAAGGGATCACTTTTCATACGTCGGGAAATTAATCCTATTCATGAAAGATAAAGCTGTAGTTCTTTTAAGGGTTTTTTAATATTATCCATTACTATGAGACCATGATTATGATGGTTATAGACACACTGCACACCATTATAATTTTTTCCAGCACTTATACTCAAAAAAATAGGGTATTGGAACAGAATCTAAAGAAACCTAAGTTAGGCTACTTTAAACAGGTATAGTTAACATCTACTTTCTTCTGTCAACTTACTAACTAGACTAGAGCGATTAATAACAGAATGGCTACTTTTACTCACTACAGACATTATACCTAGGGAATATCGTAAACATAGAAAAGAGATGTCAGGTAGGAATTGCAGCGGACACTAATAAAAAAAAGGAATTACATTACACTAATCAATGTGTAACAGAAAGAGATACAGACGAGCAGAACTTGAGCATGTTGCCAGTATCGGACTTTAAAGAAAGTTCAACATTCTCAGGGATTTAAGACAGCAAGGACCCTTGTTCGAAGATATAATTCCCACCAGGCAGTTATAAAACCGACCCTGATCTTTTGCGTACCTAATTACCTCTAACCGCCTGCCCCGCTTACTATTATTGGTTTATCCCTTTTCACTTTGTACTACTCATGAAGCATTTTCTAACTTAACAAGGGCATATTCAAAACGCAGCAAACGACACCATTCCCAAGTGGAAATAAGAAGGAAGATACGTCTATTCTGACAGATAATTTATTGCAGATTTTGCCAATTTTGATAGTCCCAACTATAAAGTTATACTTCATTTACTTTCTCTAGCGATGTTTCCCTTCCAATGTCTTGGATGCGCGCTGGCAAAATCGTAGGTAGGGAGAAACAGCTCATTATACTTTCGACTGTTGTTCATTAAACATACTTTTTCCTACAGTACCTGCCAAAAGTTTTGTTCAATCATGAATAGTAGTGCGAGTCGAAAACAAACGTTAAAGCCTTTAATATATCTTCAAATATAAATAAATATCTCGTTGATATTTTAAGTAGTAAATGGTACCAATAACAGCACATTTGAGCAATGCAATTGTAGTGGATAAAATGTTCATTTTTTCCGTGCAGTACTGTACGGATTATATGCTCCTTGCCGGTTAAAAGTTCGGCCGAGAGTTGTCTCCTTCCTTTTTTGGCCTAGTGCGGTTTTCTCCTACTTTGCGCTGGTCAAACTGAAGGTCACATCTCTAAGGAAACTAAACGAAGTATACATTAGGGTTGGATTAGGTTACTGGGCCGCAAGTTTTGACCATTGCTCAGTGGTTCGATTCCGTGTCCTTCTGGCCTGGTTTTTTGTGGTTTCCTTGGATCACCTAGGCAAATGCTGGGGCAGTAATATTCCACACTTAATCTTTTCTCTCTTCCGTCTTCAAACACCCACAAGTTGCAGTAATATTCCATACTTTATCTTTTAGTCTCTTCCGTCTTGAAACACCCAAAAGTTACTATAATATTCCACACTTAATCTTTTATTTTCTTCCGTCTTGAAACAGCTAAAACTTAAGTTTTTCTTTTGGATTAAGTTATCTTATTTTGTTTTCTGGTATTTCATAAATTAGTCAAAATTTTTCAAAATACACTAAGTACGCAACTAGAAGTTATGATGTAACAAAAATACATGAATAGATGTAAATAAATACTATTTTATGTATGGGGCAATTACCTAGCAGGTATATGTATAAATTTTTTGAAACATCACGTGACTATGTATGTTGTTACACGCTCTCATATACATTTTGATTTACTATTACTATAAAATATTTTAATAGTTCTCATCCTGTTGTCTGAATAGACATCATTACGATAGCTAATCGTAAATTTAAAATAGTCAGCTCAGCATTGACATATTAATAAACTAATTTAATTAATTTAAATAGATTCAAGTTCACTAACGAAAATTAATATTCAATTACATAGAATCTTCTTTTGTTTTTAAAAATTTTATTTCAATCCACAATTTCAAAAACAATAATATAAAACTAGCAATTGTTTGTGATTTTTTCTTGTATAGATCTACTATTTTTGTGCTAATGGTAAATCAATGTAACTTTTTAACACTTCTACGCATTAGCGATATTTGTCTTATTAATTTATTATTTATACTAGCCATTAAAGTTGTTGATGTGACTTCAGCTTCGCTATTTACTTTAATGGGATTTTTATGGAGGAAGTGAATTAGTTTCAATACACATATCTAAATACCTATAATTGTAGTGTACCTACTAAAGCCGGTCCCACACAAATTCGATGCGTGTCGTGTATTTCTTTTCAGGCTTCACTCAATGTTTTTTCTTGGGCCAGTTCCTACGATAAATTGTCTTGAACTTTTTTGAATTGTATATTGTTTTCGTATCATTGTATGGTCTTTAGCAAATATCTTGAAAGTGACCAGTCAACAGATCAGAAACAGATGTTAAAACTAATAAAAATAAAAATTCGAAAATCCGAACATCTAAACATCTAAACCCCCAAGGCCTGGTTTTGTCTGCATTTTTGGGAAACGAGATAATTACATACAATAAAATTATCGGTATTATACTATCGAAAATTTGTCCATGTTTACAAAAATATTGTATATTTTTTCTTCGAATAAACGATTAAATTAACGAATTAAAAAATAATAATAGTAATAAGTTGGAGGGATTTTTATAGAAAATATGGGACTTTTTGGACCTGCGCGTGGAGGGATTTTTAGAGAAAATATGGAATTTTTTGGACCTGTGCGTGGGATTTTTTCCTATAGTAGGTTGGCAACAGTGGGCCAGTTGCAGATCTATACGACATTTGTTTCCGACAGGTCGTACACGTAGCAAATATGTCGAACATACGTTAAATATGGCACTTTTTGTTGTAACTTTGAACGATCT